TCACTAAGTTGCCATGATTGGCCTTGAACTTGAAATCCTCCTGTCTCAGCCTCCCAAGTCACTGGTTACAGGCATGTGTAACTATGTCCAGCTCAAGCTTTCTTGAATAACAATTTCTATTGCCTAAAATTCAGGACATCTGAAGAGCAAGAAGTTGAACAATGAACCCTAGTCATTAGTGTCTTAACTCTTGCTTTTCCTCTGTACCTCCTATATAACTTGGGGATGAAGTAGAGGGAAAATAAGGAGAAGACTAATAGAATAGACAAACAAGTATAAAGGGAAAAGAATGACTCCCATCAAAGAATTCAAGTTGAATTTCATCTTGTCCAAGAATTTTGTCTTTACAATACATGTAGAGCTGCATGGTAGAGATAATTGTGGAATCCCAGAGAAAACGATTAATATTGATTCTGCTGATATATAATAGAGGACTCAAAAGGGAGAATTGCATTGAAAACTGTGATAACATTTTAAGGCCTAGTTATTTATGGAATTATTTATCTTTTATTTTAAACTATCAAAATCATATGTAATTAAATATGATTTAGTTTTTATTACAGTACTAAACTCTCGGCTTGTATGCTGAATTTTTGTAGTTGTAATAAGTACTATTGTCTGCTTACCACTCCCTCATGTTATCCATAGAGAGGAACCTTGGTATCCAGATTATAGACATCAGCTTTTATAACTTTGTGTTGTTTATTATATATACAGGTTTGATCTGTCTTGAAATCGTATTAGCCTTTCTCTGGGTGCATTATAATTAGGTGACTGCCTTTACCTCCAGATGACTAATCAGAATACAGAATGCCCTCTTTGTGATAAAATCTCAATATTTAAGGTCTTTCATTATTGCATTTAATATTCAAAAATTCTTTTTTTAAAATTTTTTTCCCTTAGTTGTAGTTGGACACAATACCTTTATTTTATGTATGTATTTATTTATTTATTTTCTGTGGTTTAGAGGATCAAACCCAGCGCCTTACATGTGCTAAGCGAGTGCTCTACCACTGAGCCACAATCCCAGCCCCTGATATTGAGAAATTCTCATATTAGAGTTAACTGATCTTAATCCTTTATTTTGTTCTTAGTAATAATGCTGAAGTTTTTGGTAAAACTTATAAACATTATTTACAATTATGGATCTAGTTTCAATTACTGATTAATCTTTTTTAAGGCAAAGTAAATATTGGCAATTATAAGATTGAACTATTCTTAGACCATGTCAAATTTGAGCAGTATTCATTCTTTAGATTTTTATCACTGTAGTGGCTTTCAGTTTAGATTTTAGTAGATATTGCATGCACAGTACCCAAAAGTTACCCAGAGGTTCACCTGCTTAAAATTTTAGGTTGGGTGTAGAGTATGCATACTTACTTCCCTAATTATCCTGAGCATAGTTCTCTCTTATCTTTCTCATCTGCTCTTGAAAAATGAACCACACTGATAGGGAGATGTTTGGAAACTTAGAGACATCTGAGAAGCACTTCTAACAGTCTCAGAAATTCAGTTATTTATATACATTAGATCTAAGATTTCTTTTCTAAAATGTCTTCAAAAATTCTCTTTTTAGTTAATTTGGTTTATGCAATGGGAAATGTGTACAATTTTCAGCTATTAACTGTTTTGATCTGTAGAATTAGTTTGAATCTGAATAAATTAAAACAAAATTCAAATCCCTTGAACTATTTTCAGATCCATTGTATTCAGTTGTTACATCAGTCCTAGATAGATTTATCAGCTACTTGGGACCCTAAAAATAGTTTGAACTCTAAACAGAAACAAATTTCTTGAGCATTCTAATTAGCTGCATTAAAAATACTGAAATGTCCTCTTTGGGCTTGTACTTAGTATTAAATAAATAAGGATGGATAATTCTTTGCACTTGAAGAAATTCAGCCTTGGTTACTGCCCCCATAACATGAGAAAATCGTAGTAACAAAGTTTACATTAAAATTGTGGAAACTGGGGCTGGGACCACAGCTCAGTGGCAGAACGCTTGCCTAGTGTGCATGAGGCACTGGATTCGATCCTCAGCATCACATAAAAAAATAAACAAATATTTTTTTTATCTACAACTACAGGAAAAAAAAAAACAACTGTAGAAACTGTACTTACCAGCCTTTTACACAAATATAAACTGTTGAAAAACTTTTTTTCTTTCATTGCAGGAACTCACCTCTGGCATGTAAACTGAACCTTCCCATGTTTAGCCAAACTTCTTAAATTCTGTAACTGGCAGGTTAGGCCCTAGGATTTACTATAATATGTGGAAATAATGAATTCTCTTGTTTTTGGTTGCTACAGGTTTCAGACTGAATGCATTTGCGTGGCATGCAGCATGTTAAAATGCCTCTGCTTTTTAAATATAAGGGTTTATTAAGATTGGGTTTACTTTTATTTCAGTCTCTGACTTCAGAGCTATTTCTTCTTGATTTCTTTTTCTTTTCTGTTTATAGAGTGCTGATTTTGCTGTAGGTGTCGTCTACTACCACTCATTCCTTTTCTTTCTCTTCTGTCTTGATTTCCTTTTGCTCATGGCATACATCTTGGCTCTCAGGTCACATGAGTTAATTTATAAGAATTTCTCTCCAAGCCTGGAGCGGTGGCACACGCCTGTAATCCTAGCAGCTTGGGAGGCTGAGGAAGATGTATCGCAAGTTGAGAGCCTCAGAAACTTAACAAGGCGCTTAGCAACTCTCAGTGAGACCTGTCTCTAAATAAAATATTAAAAAGGGTTGGGGATATGGCTCAGTGGTTAAGCACCCCTGGGTTCAATCCTCAGTCAAAAAAAAAAAAAAAAATTTCTCTCCAAGAAGAATATTGCTTTCCTTTTGCTTTGTGAATTGTCTAGTCAAAGCATGTCATGATAACCTTCCTGTTTGTCTGTCTGTATTTCCTTAGTGGTTGCTGATATACTGATTGTTTTTGCCTAAGAAGATAACTTGGCAGTTCTTTATTTTTTTGGCACTTTAAGAGCATTATTCTTCTTGTTGATAAAGAGACTTAGGGGAGGGCGGGGGGACTGCTTTAAAAAGTAATTGTGGCCAGGGAATAATCTCTAGAGACATTGCTTGTGTTCTTAATGAAAATACCATTCTGATCAAAAGAGCTTTTTATGGCAAAATGAATATTCCAAATTAAATCCCCATTCTGTGAAATTTTGTAAATTTCCATTCTAGACATCTACAATATGTTGTGCAAATGCATATAATAAATTATTGCTTATACTTATTAAATAAAATTTCATTTAAAAAACTAATTGTGGACAGACTAAAAATGTGGAACTGGAACTGCAAGATTATTGTGCAGTTATTTCTTTATATAGAGCAATACTTTTAGTAAAAATGTGAAGAGTACAGTAGGTCTGATACATGCAATTGAGATAAATGGCATTGGTAGAATATAGCTAGAGTGTCTTTTGTAATTGGGTAGGACAAATAACTTTGATTTCTCTTACTTTAAAGCTTTATTTTTCAGCTTTATTTTAACCTTTTTTTTTTTTTTTTTTTTTTTTAAAGCGGGAATGGAGGTATATAGCCAGAATTTTAAAGGAAAAGAGAAAATTAAAAAAAAAAAAAGTTTATGCAAGTACGGAAAAATCATACTTTTGAAATAATCATTTTTCTCTTATATATTAGCTTCAGCCAAGAAAATTAGTTCTTTGTGTTAGTATATCTAAAATTTTAGAAGACTACAAATTGTATGAAAATACTGCTTTATTAAAATGTAAATATTTGTAAAATTGTAATAAAGTTAGATTTATAACTATAGCTTAAAAATATTTACAAATCTTATAGTGAATTCCTCTCACATTCAAAACATGGGCATACTTTTCTCTCTCCATAAAGACAAAACAAAACAAAATGTATGTGAAGAACAATGTATATTTTATGAGTTTCTGTCATAACTTAATATAGGACACATACTTACTGATATTCTGCTACATTTGATAGTTTGTAAGGGCTGAGAGATTTAAGTCTGGTTTGGGAATTATTAATTTGTACTTGATGAGATTTATAAAAGTCTCATCAAACCTACTGAATCTACCTGTTAAAGTAAGAACCCTGAATTTGTGTTTTTAGTCAGATCTTCCAGTAATGTTTGGTTTTTTCTTTTTAGGGTAAGATCAGTAATTAAGAATTTCTGGGCTAGGGATATAGCTAAGTTGGGAGAGTGCTTGCCTTGCATGTACAAGGCCCTGGGTTCAATCCCAGCACCACCACCAAAAAAAAAAAAAAGATCCTGGTGAATTGCAGCAGTACTAACATATAAACTTTAAAAGACTGGTGGGTTACATAAATTTAACTTTTATATAAAAATAATTTTGCTGGGGATGTAGATTCAGTGGCAAAGTGCTTGCCTGGAATGAATGAGATCCAAGGGTCAATCCCCAGGACTCCAAAAATAAATATCTCACTCTTAAATTTTTATGTACTCCTTAAAGGAAAGGTAAAGAAAAATATCAAGTAATTGGAAGATTCATTCAACCTTGTTGGTGAATAGCCAGATGTGTGAGGGAAGTTGGAATATACTGAAGTTATTTCCTTTTGCATATATACATCAGGTGTGAGCATTGTTGCAAATGGTAGGGGGCATTCCTACTACCTGTAATTAATACTGCCTCAAAATTGAATTCTTTTGTTGGGAATTTTAGTGTATGATTTTTATATACAGAGAATAATGAGTCGAATTTGAAAAACTGTTCTTTCACTAGTGAACAAATACATTGAAATTTAAAAATTTTAAAGGGAATTTATGAAAAGTAACTGAAATATAAAATAATTCAGCCACTCCCAACAACATGTTCATTCATTCATTGAAACTAGTTCTTACTAAGTTAATGAAAATAAATAATCAGTTGTTTATCCTTTTCCTGGGACTAATTTTGGTGTGTTTGTTTTTATTTTTTAATCAAAACTTGTTATATGTGGAGAATATTTAGTTTTTGGTAGTAGAGGATATTTGAGTGTTAATGGAATTTTATTCTTTCTTAGGTCATGTTTACTGGTGAAAATATTCCTGTTCATCCTCATGTTTATAGCAATGGTCATATCTGTTTATCCATTCTAACAGAAGACTGGTCCCCAGCGCTCTCAGTCCAGTCAGTTTGTCTTAGCATTATTAGCATGCTTTCCAGCTGCAAAGAAAAGGTAGGACTTTTCAGAATTATTCCAGATAATATTTCTTCTTTCAGTTTAGGTAGATTAACAATTTTAATACATAATTACTTTTATTTGAAGGAAGGACTCATGTTTTTTGTTTTAAAATTATAGGGAATGTCATGTTTAGTAATAAGTTAGAAAGTTATTTTGATTATCTTTCATTCCACATATGAAGTTTCAAATAGAAATTTTAAACATTATATGGGCTAAGAGTCAGATTTACTGTTTTATGTTTTAAGAAAATTTGTGCACATGTTATTAAATAATCTGAATTTTATTTCCATAAGCATGCACGAGGCAAAGTGTACAAGAAATTCTTATTTCTAGATTTCCCAATGGAAAACCCAGAAATAAGTATAGTTCCTGTCACCTCTTTGCCAGCTCCCATTCTCTCAGCCTTTTAGGGTATTTATTTCCCAGAGATCAGAACTCTACTATCCAAATGATTAGGTTGAATGAAAAAGACCGTTACTATTAGAATTTTCAGGACTTTCCTTCTCTTCTCCTTACTCCCTTTCTCTACAGACTTGTATTTCTGGTGGAGATGGGGAAAAGCCCAGAATGAAAAATCTCATGAGTTAAATTTAGCATACCCTTTAAAGTTATCTGAATCCTGTTTCTGGCCCTCTTATCATTTCTGCTTAAGGGTTAGTGTAGCTTAATATTTATATATTTGTACATTTTAAAGTCTCTTTTCCACAAGGGTTTCCTTTTGTACTGCTAAAAGGAGGAACAGATTTGCCTTAGACTGTGTTTAGCATTTTGTCTCCTCTTCTCCAAATTAAACTGATGGACTGCTGGTTTTTTATTAGCATTTAGAGAACCTTTAAGATAAATAGTTATTTTTAAAATGATAATTTATGAAGAATCTGAAACATTCTTAAGCCACTGTTTCACAAAGTGACTTTGGAATGTTAGGTCCATAAGAAGTTTCTTGATGTTCAATTTAAAAAACAAAGAAAACCATTCTTTGTTCAAATAATGGGAAATAATGGATTGAATTGTATTTTTTAATTATGGGATTAAGAGCCCTTTATATGCAATTTATATGTATCATATAAGAAAAACACTGGCAAACTATGACACCATAATTAAAAGACATATATCCCTATTTAGGAATATTAAAGTGTGCAGAAAAAAACATATCTTAGATGAAATAAGGCGTATATATCTAATATTAACACACACACCTCCCCCAGTACTGAGGATTGAAAACAGGGGTTCTATACCACCAAACTACATTCCCGGCCCTTTTTTATTTATTTATTCATTTTTAGACAGGTTCCCTCTAAGTCACCCAGGCTGGCCTTGAACTTGGCTGTCATCTCAATCCTGAGTCCCCAGGATTGCAAGCATGCAGCACCGAGCCTGGCTTAATGTTACTTTTTAACTTCATTTTCCTCTTTGTTGTGGGTTTTTCTAAGCTGCATTTTAAAGCTGCAATTGAGCTTTTGTTAATTTTGTTAACAATTCTTTTTCATTTCTTGCTTTTGTATTTTCTCTTCGCCCACCCCCCAACACATATGTGCACATATTTTAAATTTATGTGCAGAGCACTTTGCAGTTAAAGGGCTCTCTCTATTTCTTTTATGCTTAATGACCATAAGAAAGTTAGGTGAGTAACTGTAGGATTTAATTTAAAAAGTTACTAAGACTTGATGAACAGTGGTATCTACACATAGCTCTTGCAGGGGCCTTGTGATTGTTAACTTCTGTTTATATTTAATTGTACTGATTTCCTCTTAAAAACCAGAGCATGGTACATCATTCCCTTCATTCTAATTGTCTGCTACTTGTGCTTCTTGCATACTTAGTACAAGACTAATCATTTAGCTTGCATGGTGGCGCATGCCTATAATCCCATGGCTTGGGAGGTTGAGGCAGGAGGATCACTAAATTCAAGTCAGCCTCAGCAATTTAGTGAGTCCCTAAGCAACTCATTGAGCCCCTGTCTCAAAATAAAATATAGAAAAGGGCTGGGGAGTGTGGTTTAGTAATTTAGCCCCCCTGCATTCAATCCCCAGTACTAAAAAAAAAAAAAAGACTAATCATTTAAATTATTGATAAACTTTAAGTAGAATCTTTCTATAATACATTTAACCAAGATGATAATCTAGAAGTCAGAATTTTTGTGATATATTATACAATTCAAAAAACGTTTGTTAAGTACTTACTGTTTTTATTTTGCAGTGCACTAGATTTCTATGAAAGGAAATAGCAATATAATTTTATAATACAGATTTTTTTCTGGGAGTTTTCTCAAATTTACCAACAGGGAAGTGTTGGGATAGTTTAACATCTGTGCTCTAATGTTCTTTTGGGGTTGTTTATTTATTTATTTATTTTTATGTGGTGCTGAGGATCGAATCCAGGGCCTTGCACGTGCTAGGCAAACAACACTCTACTGCTAAGCCACAACCTAGGCCCCCTTTTACACACACACACACACACACACACACACATATATTTTTAATTGTTAATGGTCCTTTATTTTATTAATTTATTTACATGTGGTGCTGAGAATCGAACCCAGTGCTCTCATGTGCTAGGCAAGTACTTTACCACTAAGCCACAACCCAAGCCCTCAAATGTTCTTTCTCTATCAAATGAAATTACTATTAATATAAACTCATAGTTAAGGACATTATGAGGTTCAACTAAGATGATAGTTATATATGTGGATTTTAGAAGTGTCAGGTTAACTGCTTTTCTGCTATATAGGTAGTCCTTCTTACCATTGCTTTCTCAGTGGGCCTTCTGTAAATGATGTCTCTTTTGATTAGCCTCATAAAGAATTCCCTTATATTTCATTTTATTAGCTTAGCTAAGCAGAAATTAAGTCTGAAACTGCAAAAGAAATCATTGTCATAATAGTTCTGAAAGTAGACAAAAGGAAGCTAATGGATGAGGATATCTGTCATATGATTTATAAACATTCCCTTGATAACTTTAATAATATAAATTTGACGTTTCCAGATCTTTTTAGAAAATCTCATATTTCTTTTGTCTAGTTAATATCCAACAGTTTGCAGGAAAAATCTCTTCCATAATCTACTTTGAGTGTTGTTGACATCACTATTTCTGATATTCTCTTTCCATTGTTGCTCATATTATTTCAGTCTGTACATATGATTAACAGGCCAGTGTCTTGATCTTTGGGTCTGTTCTTAATGATATGATGTAACAAGAAAGTAATAAACCTTTGTGAAGGTTTATAGATTGCTGTAGTTCTTCAGACAACCTTAATTAGTCTTTACTGTTTTAATTAGTTTGCAAAAGCAATTATTACATAGGGAAGTAAGCTGTAACAAATTTGGCTTCAAATATCTTATTATCTTTCTTTTGGTTGATGGGCATTTTCCAGTGGAACCTAACCCAGAACACATAAATACAACACTATTCTTTTTTTCGTTTTTTTGTTTTGTAGCAATTTAGGTGTCAAAAGTCCACATTTCCAGAATACATTTATAGTTTTTATTGTTTCAGTTATGCTGTCATGTTTATATTGTTTTTACATATTCCTTAATAATTTTGCTTAAGCTTTTATTAAAACTATCACCCCTTTAGTTATTCTATTTTAGAACTTACCTACTTAAACTCATATATTTTTTTTTTGTTTCAGAGAAGACCACCAGATAATTCTTTTTATGTGCGAACATGTAACAAGAATCCAAAGAAAACAAAATGGTGGTATCATGGTAAGCAGTTTTAATTTGTAATGATAACTTTTAGTATTTTGATTTAAAAGAGTATATATCTGTTTTTCTAAGAGATGGGAAAATGAAGATATAATTGATATATATTTGTAATATGAACAATAGTTTTTTAAAGTATTACAAGATATTTTATGGATAAGTTAGACTAGATTTTTAGTAGAACAAACAAAATCATAGCCATCATATAAGTAAAATAAGGCATTATAGTAACTTTCTGACACCATTTTACTGCACAAAGGAAGTCCTTAATAATCTGTAGATCAAATAGAACCTAGCTATTAAGAAACTTGTCATTAAAGGTAGATTTTTTCCTTTTTTTTTTTTTTTTTTTTTTTTTTAATTTTTTGCAGAAAGGATTAAACCCAGGGCTTTGTGTGTGCTAAGGAAGTAATTTTGATGCCTTGTGTACTTAATTCTGTTACTCTTAATAGTTTGGCGGGTGGGGTGGGTTGGATGTCCTGTTAAATAAAGCTTTCTGGATTGTATTATCCCTAAAAAAAGGTTGGGCTGAATCTCAACATCATATACATCCACAAGACTGGGATCCTAATTAGAATAAGATATACTCCATGATTGTATAAATTATATCTACATAGAATCTACTATCATGTAGAACTAAAAAGAAAAAGTTTTGTCAAAAAAGTTGAGGTCTGATAATTTGACCTTTGTTAAGTACTCAATAATTTCAAGTGTCTGTTGTTCCTAATTCAGAACTGCTAGAATCATTTCTAAACTAATCTCAGTGCTTCCTGAAAGAGGTATTTTAAATTAAAAGCAAAAAGTTGATATTCTTCTATGTGCTATTTTTCATGGGGTGCAGTGGGGGTTTATTCAATTATAGGGCCTTATGCCTGCTGGACAAATCTTTTACCATTGGGCACTAGCCTTCTCAGTGTACTCTTTGAAGCAAGTGATTAAAAATCACTCTGTGTGGTTTTGTATACAAAAAAAATTATTTGTTTTCCCAGTTGTTGGTGGTTATGGTGGTTTTTGGTTTCCGGAAATCAGAATTGGCAAAACTAACAGGAATGTGACCTTTCTCCCCTTATCTTTCCATATACTGTGAAACCTTCTCTACCCTCACATAAAATGATTGAATTTTAAACTTTAGTTCTCCAAGTGTTTAAATAGAGTCAATGTAATGGCACTATGCCAGCAGTTAAAAATTAGAAAATATAGTGAAAGAATAATGCCATTCATGGGAGCTACACAAATATGAAAACTTGGGATAATGCTAATGAGAAATACTTGAGACCTAAAAGAAAAGAAAAAAAAAAGTTTTTAAGAACTATAAAAAAAGCAGAGATACTTTAATGAGAAAACATACTGTTCTTAAAAAAATGTAATTTCAGTAAGAATCTAGCGGAATGATATGCATTGGTTTTTTAAAATTTTGGAAAAATAAATGTAAGAGCAAAGCTTGAAGTTTGAACTATAAAGGTAATGGAGGAGAATTTATCAGGCACTAAAACATTAAAAATAGATCTTTGGGACCGGAGTTGTGGCTCAGTGGTAGAGTGCTCGTCTTACATGCGTGAGGCACCGGGTTCAATCCTCAACACCACATAAATAAAAATATAAAAGTATTGTACCCATCTACAACTAAAAAAAAAAAAAAAAAGTCTAAAAAAAACATGTAGATCTTTGGCTGGGGTGGTTTGTGGCTCAGGGGTAGAGCTCTCCCCTAGCACATGTGAGGCCCTGGGTTTGATCCTTAGTACTACTTAAAAATAATACAGGTATTGTGTCCTACGATACCACTTACAACTAAACATATATATTTATATACATATATAATTATTGTATAGAATTACTCTATTTAGACTGTTGTATACTGAGATTTGTTGAATGCATTAAAAATCACTGAAAAGGGGAAAGATTATTTAGTAATTAGGTTATTTTAAATCATCTGGGAAGGAATAAATTTAAATTTTTACCTCATATATAAAATATTTCTTGTGGATCATTTTTTTTTAATATAATAAAGGAGGGGCTGGAGTTGTGGCTCAGTGGTAGAGCACTTGCCTAGCATGTGTGAGGCACTGGGTTTGATTCTTAGCACTACACATAAATAAATGAATAAAATAAAGGTCCATCAACATCTAAAAATTTTTTTTTAAAAATATAATAAAGGAAAAAAGTGGGTTTTTTTTTGTTTTGTTTTAATATGTGTGTATGTGTGTTTCATTTTTGTTTTTGTTTCTTGTTGTCAGTACTGGCGATTGAGCCCAGGCCCTTGCTCATGCTAAGTAAGCACTCTTACATGGGTTGTACACCCCCTAGCCCATTTTATTTTTTGAGACAGGATCTCACTAAGTTGTCCAGGGTGGCCTTGAACTTGCAATCCCCCTCTGACTCATCTTCCCAGTAAGTTGGAATTTATAGGCATGTACTGCTGTGCTCAGCAGAACAATGCATTTTTATTTTTTTATTAAATTACTTATTCTAATTTGTTATACATGATGGCAGAATACAATTTAGTTCATGTTACTCATATACATATAGAGTGCAGTTTTTCAAGTCACTGATTGTACACAAAGTATTTTCACACCATTCTTGTCTTATACATGTACTTAGGGTAATGATGTCTAATTCATTCCACTATCATTTCTACTTCCTTGCCCCCTCCTTTCCCCTCCCTCCCCTTTGCCCTATCTAAAGTTCCTCCATTCCTCCCATGCTCCCCACACACCATTGCCATTATGAGTCAGCATCCTCATATCAAAGAAAATATTCGGCCTTTGGTTTTTTGGGATTGGCTTGCTTTACTTAGCATTATATTCTCCAACTTCATCCATTTATCTGAAAATACCATGATTTTATTCTCTTTTAATGCTGAGTAATGTTCCATTGTGTATATATACAACAAAGTTTCCCCATCCATTCCTCGACTGAAGGGCATCTGGGTTGTTTCCATAATTTAGCTATTGTGAATTACGCTGATAATAAACATTGATATGGCTGTGTCCCTGTAGTATGCTGTTTTTAAGTCCTTTGGGTATAAACTGAGGAGTGGGGGTAGCTGGGTCAAATGGTGGTTCCATTCTAAGTTTTCCAAGGAATCTCCATACTACTTTCTAGTTTGGCTGTACCAATTTGCAGTCCCACCAGCAGTGTATGAGTGGGCCTCTTCTCCCACATCTTAAGAGTAAGAAAATCTTACTCTAAGGAAATCTTAGAGTAGTTTTGATTTGCATTTCTCTAAAGAACAATGCATTTTTAAAAGCATATTTTAAAAGTACAACCCTCTCTCCAATCTCACCCTATCGTTAGAGGGTACTATTCCTGTTTTTCCTTCCTCACTGCCCAAAAAAGGAATTTTAAAAAGATAAAAATGTTTTCAAGTATCCTTTAGTTGTTGATGAACGTTGAATGTTCAAAATATTGAGTTTTTTTTTTTTTTTTTTTTAAGTACCAGGGATTGAACCCAGTGGTACTTAACTACTGAGCCACATCCCTAGCCCTTTTTTATATTTTATTTAGAGACGAGGTCTCACTAAGTTGCTTTAGGACCTCATTAAGTTGCTGAGGCTGGCTTTGAACTCATGATCCTCCTGCCTCAGCTTCCCAAGCCCCTGGAATTACAAGCATGCACCATCACACCTAACCGAGAAGTTCATTTTTTTTTTTTTTGGTACTGAAAATTGAACCCCCAGGGTCCTCAACCACTGAGCCACATCCCCAGCCCTTTTTTATATTTTGTTTAGAGACAGGGTCTCACTGAGTTTCTGAGTGCCTCGCTGTCCTGCGCCAGCCTCTGGAACCCCTGGGATTACAGGCATGCACCACAGTGCACAGCTGAGAAATTCTTTATCAAAGAATACTTTTAGAATTTCTTCTTACTTGCTTTTGAATAAGAAGTTGGGAAAGGTCATATAGTGAAAAAATAAATACAAGAATTAAGTCCTTAAAGAAAAAATAAGTCCTTACAATGATGTACAATTCATAGTAGGATTTTTTTACATTTATCTGTTACTGAGAAATCTGTGCTTTCCCAACTAAGATACAGGGTGTATTTTTTTTTTTTTTTTTTTACTTCAGGGATACATAATCTTCTATGTAAGCCAGGTACCCACCCCCAAAGAAGCTTCAAATTAAATGAACTACTTATATAATGTAAAATAACCTGTGTGTATACAGGAATTAATATTGTCAGTAATACTTTTTATTCCCAATATAAATTAGCCATTTTTACAAGGCATTGGATTTTTAAAAAAAATTTTTTTGTAGCTGTGTATGGACAGAATGCCTTTATTTGTTTATTTTTTTATGTGGTGCTGAGGATCGAACCAGTTCTTCACATATGCTAGACAAGTGCTCTGCCACTGAGCTACAGCCCCAGCCCAAGGCATTGGATTTTAATTCACCTCAATGTAATTATTCTAGTTCATTCTCCAATCCCAGGTGTGTGTGTGTGTAATTTTTTTTTTCATTTTCAGATAATTGTGTTTAAAATATCCTTGGTTTATTGACTTACAGTGACTTTATTGTCTCCAAATATATTTTCTCTTCCTGCTGGAACCCTGAATACCTAAGTTATTCACTGCCAGCATTACCCCTTTAAGGGACAAATTTGTTGCTTAAATGAGTTTCATATGCAAACAAGGAACAATAATATTTGTAATTCACCAAGATGGTAGAGCTGCTGTTGATGTCATCCAACTAGGATGGCTGTAGAGGAAGAAAAAAAAAAAAACTCAAGGCATTTCAACTGTGTAGCACTTTATTGTCTACATCAGAATGGCGCAGTTGTAAGCTATATGAATAAGAGCTTATCTTAGCATTATAGTTGAATCTGGATAATTTATCAAGAAGGTAGTCATAGTCTTAGAAAGCATAACCCATCAACTTTTATTTTAATACACACACATACACACACACATTTAGTTGTTGATGGACCTTTATTTATTTGTATATGGTGCTGAGACTCAAACCCAGTACCTCAAACATGCTAGGCAAGCGCTCTGCCACTGAGCTACAACCCCAGCCTGTCAGCTTTGTTTATTAAAACTTTTCGGATGTCAGCTGGGTACAGTGGTGCACACCTATAATCCTCCTGACTCTAAGGCTGAGGCAGGATAATGGCAAGTTCAAAGCCAGCCTCAGCAACTTAGGGTCTCTGAAGAGCTGTGGGTATAACTCAGTGTTAGAGTATCTCTGGATTCAATTCCCAACCCTCCAAAACAAAAAACAAAACCAGAGATTGAACAAAAGCTTACTTGGAATTAGATAAACTTATTGGAACACTTAGCATTTCAGTTTCTAGAAACTAAATGGAGTTGTATGTCTGAGGTATCAGGCTCCACAATTGTCCTACATGGTGTTAATCACAGGATGGAGACACTCTTAAAATAAAAATATGAATTCATTGCCTCCTGGTCGTATAAGAGGAAGACAGCTTTCGTGCCAAAGTTGAGCTGTTAGATACCAGGATTGGATTCTTAGAAAAAGCCTCTTTCAGTGTAAATTTGTGATCTTCCATATTATTAATTAGTATCCCTTGAAAATTAGGTCAAGCCTGCTACCATAATGTTACTATGCATATTTCTTTCAAGGTTTTTCGATACAATGTATTAAAGTTTAAAAAGTATAACCAATATTAGTGCTGAGAGTCTTTGGATATAAAAAGTTGCATTTGTTGGTGAGTATACTTTCCTTAATTGTTATTTACTTGACATTTACTATCAAGGTGTTTTCCAGAAGTCTATTTCTGTTCACTGAGGAATTAATATCATATCTGCATTGAAATGCAGGTATTATGTGTTGCTACTAAAGGCAGGGGTCCATATGCTTTGAAAAATCAATTGCTCAGAGAGAATGGGGTTAAAAAAAAAAGCTAACCAAAATAGGTTTATGAAATAGATAACTCACTTCAGCATACAAATGAACTGAGAAATTTACTAGTGATTCAGACTTATAATCTTCCTTAGAAAACAGGGCCTCATCTGATTGAGTGCACAAAAGAATGAATGATTGAGGTCCCAAAGTTATATGTTAAAATAATTGTTCTTGATAAAGGTACAAATTATCTTTTTGTTAAACCATAAATATATATCAATTAGGTAAGCCAAATAGAATCCATTAATAACACAAGCCATTTGTTTTCTGGGGCCAGTATTCAGCATAGTTAAGCTTAGTTTCATGAGCAATTGCTTTCCACAGACAGAAACCCACATCTGTGATTCTTGGAGCACTTTCCTTAAAGTGATAAACAGTTGGAACATTGGTCAGTTTCAAACTATAGCTTAAGGTCGTTATTGAGTATTGATTTCTTTTTTAGGAAATAAATTGGAATAGTGTCTAAATAGCACATCTAACCAACTGATAAATCTCTAATTTGTCAAGGAGTAGAGCAATATCTTGTTTGTTTGTTTTTGTATTTTTTTTTAAACCATGGACTATATGCTATGTAGAATATTCATTTATATGCAGGAGCATAAAATTATCTCAAATTGGTAGAATCAAACTCCTTTTCTTCCCGCCTTATACCTTCTGTCATAGATTTACCTATATTATAAACCTTTTGGTTTTACCCTTTAAGGTTATAAAACCACTTATTAAAATTTTTCAGGCCAAACTTAAAACAGTTTGTACCCTCTGCTCCTGCTGCATAGGGATTCTATTATCTGCCTACTCTGAATCAGTTCATGAAAGAAAGCTTTAATTCCCTGAATTCTTGAGAGACAAAAAATAACTATAAATATAGTTTCTTTCTTGGTGGCAGCATCCCACTTAATATCTACTGACCTATGTTACTGTGTTTCTTTTTTTCTAATCTTGTGTCCCAGGGAGTGTATATGGAGATTAGTTTCCTATGTATACTCTGGGGAAAATTTGAATGACCATTCTTATCTAATACAGCTTTCTCTCTCATTTGTATTTCCCAGAAGCACAATGAAGTTAGGTATAGTAAATGTTACTTCTTTGGAACTTACAATTTGTATATTTAAGAATGCAATTTTAGTAGGAGCTTCTATAATTCCAGAGAAAATCAAAATCATTAATAGGTGATTTTATTTTTCTAGCTATTAGCTTGTTCACAGATACTTTAGCTAAGAGGCTAAAAGTATTATGGTCTTTTATAACTTTTTGTAAATCTATGTTTGTCTTGATCTAAGGTGGATTTACTCCAGCTTTTTGTGTGACAGTCCTGGTGTCTAATAATCATTTCATCTAGGTACAAACTGTTCTTTGTAGTCACAAATGAGCCCCATCCTCCTCAGTTGTGGCCCTTTTATTTAGGGAAAGGATGGCCATGGCTTTGAATCATACCAGTCTCTATACTTAGTTTATTTGTGAACTCTTGATTACACGTAGTCATCATGGATTAATAATCCTACAAATCCCTTTGGGTCCTGGTGTCAGATCATAGGACTGTATCTTCAGAACATATTTATTAAGTTTCTTTCCTCAAAGCTAGGGTATTTATTTAAGGCAGATAATATGATATCAATCCTAAATCTCCTTTCAACATCTGACCCAAGATGGAGATTGGGATATGAAGAATAGCTTCACAGAGATTTCCTAGTCATTTTGGTAGCACATTCTGCAAAAGCCTGTCTACTGAAAACTTTCACAATGAACCATCTAATAAATAAAAATACCTTAATGTACCACCTACCAAAAATGGTTTGGGGGATACAAGCTTAGTTGTGATTAATTAGATAACATTATGTTCAAATTGAATTTTGTCACTTAATTCTTAACTGTGTACATTGTCATCTGTTGTCTTAAAGTTTATCCTAGTAGCTTGACATTCAGTAGAATTCAGTACCATCTTTTAGCATAGAGATTGAAGAATGATAAATTAGTAGTATTAATTTCGAGAAACTTTGCTTCAAGATATTTTATTGGAGACATGAAGTTTTAAAAAACTTCATTTTCTTACATTTGTTCTACGTCTATAACATGTATGTTCTTCATTCCAAATTCCACAATAATTTTAAGAAACATACTTACACGTGCAACTTAAAGGATAGAAACTGCCTACTGTTTTCTTAAATATTATTTTAAGTTTAAAGGGTTCTAATGAATTAGATATTTTTGCTTATTATTTATTTCGTTCATGGGGATTGAACCCAGGGCCTTCTTTCTTGTGCTGGGCATATGCTCTGTAACTAAGATATCCCTAACCTTACAATTTTTTTTTTCCCTTTAGTGCTGGGATCATATCCAAGAGTCTTGAGCATGCTAGGCAAGCGCTCTACCCCTAAGCTATCCAGCCAGCCCCTGATTTATTTTTAAAATTTGGTCTGTTTCATCCTTTAGATTATTCACCCTTTAGATTAACCCAAAATTATGGGATTATGGAATACTCCAAGAGTTTTTCCAGCATAGCAGTGAGACTTCAGTGAGTTTTGGTTCTTGTTTAGTCTCTATGAGTGAGAATTTTAATAGCAATATGTCAATTCTGACATGGAATAGTTTGTTAAATATTTTTGGTCAGTATTTTCTGAGTTTTCTTTACAGCTTATAATACTCTCCTGTCGTTGCCACCAGTCTTCCTGCTTTCTGAAGAATATCTTTTGGATGTGTTTTGTGAAATAATTTTATAAAATATATCATGAGTTAAAAAAAAATTGTCCATGTTACATTTAATATAATGTGCTGAGGTAACCAGAAGTTAATTACAAAATAATTCTGTGAGATTCTTTTTTATTTTAATTTTTTTTAATAGTTGTAGATGAAGAACATCCCTTTATTTTGTTTATTTTTTTATGTGGTGTTAGGGATCCAAACCAGTTCCTCACACGTGCTAGGCAAGCACTCTGTCACAAAGCCCCCAGCCCCTTCTGTGGGATTCTAAAGTGACCACTGCATGCATATATGTGTGTGTGTGTGTATACACACACATACATACATATATACTTGCTGAAAATTTTCTAAAGGGAAATTAAATTAATAGCATTAATTTTCTATTGATTGATTTGGAGATCATATCTCATTGGTGAAAAAGTTTAAATTACCTCATGTTCTAAAGACACAGCTTACATTCAGTTAAATAGCATTGCAGGAATTTACTTTCTGTCTCGTTACAATTTTATTGCCTATAAAAGAATTCTCTTAAGATTGCTACGTCCTGAATATATGCTAACATAATGGTTTCAACTTATAAGCATATTAGTTCTATATAAAGTAATAATACATTATTTTAAGGTTTGTGCAACCTTTTTTATACTAAAGGAATAAAACATATCACTGTATAATTGAACACAAATTGGACTTTCTGTTAGACTAACTTGTAGATTTTGCTTATGCGTTCTTTTTAATTATCTTTTTTCTCCTTTTCTTAAAGATGATACTTGTTGATGCCACTGTTATCATCCTCCTAGCAGAAGATAGTCCTACTGAGAAAATGAGCACTTTGATCATTCAGTCTTTGAACTTTAACCTTTGACTGGAAGTGACCTATAGGCAATGAAGACTACTTCCTTTTACTGCATTTTTACTCGTGTGCATTCTGGGCGCATGTTGATCGCTGGTTCAGTCCACGCAACTGACATGCTTTTATTAGTCATACAGTATTAATGCAGGTGTCAGGAAATGTCAAATATAATTCCATTTTTTATTTTTATTTTTTTAAGCTTTTGGAAAAGTTCCAGGTCCTCATGTATTGTGCAATAACAATGACTTCCTTGGTGGTTTTGGGACGTTCATTGCCGGCAATGGACGTTGTAACAGGAAAAGTTTTCATTAACTCCTGCCACTCAATGATTAATGCATGATAGGGCCTATGAAATGAACTTTTATCAGCTGTGGTGGGATTATAAATAAAGTGAGGGATCCAACATTACTTTGAAAGTCACCCCAACTGTTTATATTTGGATTCTATGCACTGTGATCCTAAGGTAAACAGCATGAATTAACATGCGTCTTTAAAGGACTGTAATGAAAGATCATTGCATATTTATTTAATTGTTTATATCTGCTGTCAAATTGTTTTGACATGGAAGGTTTTCAAGTAACATTGGCAGAGAGGTACAATATGTTATCCCTATGGTGAAAATAAATTCATTTGTTGTATATAGTTCCTCAATCTCTGAAGTAAAGGTATGAATAATATAGGGTATGAGTGATTTAATCAAGGCTTTATTTTGGAAGTAAGAAAAATGGCAGTGATGAATAAATTGCTGCAGTCCATCATTTGGGCTTGTTATTTGTACATTAAAGATTTTTTTTTCCAAATAGATTACACTCTGTTACTTCCTGCTAGCCATCAGCATGAGCCCTACTGCCTAAACACTATTTCGTTTATTTATGTTTGGAAAATCCATAAAAATTTTTGTTTGCAATCTTGTTGCTTTTGTTACATTTTAAGTCAAGTTTGAATGTTATAGTACTTTAATTGAAAAACTTTTGTCAAGTTTTTTCTTGTAAAATTTCTTTACCTGTAAGTATCATCTTGTTCTTTGATCCTGTACCCTAAAATAAGAAATACATTTTTGACAGAGGCTTAATGTTTTAACAAAAGAGTGTGGACATTTTTATTTTAAAATTTAGGCAAAAGTACACTATAAAATGGTATGCTTGCTTATTTGTCTCACACAGCCATATAGATTTTCCTGGAGGATTTTGTTTTGTTTTCTTGTTGAAAAGACTTACAGCTAGATAAAGTTTTTCTATTAAAAAAAAAATGTTGAATGGTCCCATTCTCAGAACCATGTAAGTTAATGATACTACAACTAGGTTCTCTTTTTAAAAAGTGATTAATGTATTTTATAAATTACCTTTTCACATATGCAAAATCTGTTTCTACTACAATGTTATTTTTACTAATGCCTTATTGTTGCACTCTTTTTGAAATATCCTTCAGTGAATTTATTAATCAATTTGGGCTTTAAAATAAAAGCCAGTTGGCTAAAAGGTCTGAAATATGTACCCCAGTAAAACTATCCAATCAATAATTGGTAAATAATATTTTAAAAATTGTTTTTAATCTCTGTGTAGATGACATTTTGTAGCTTTATACATGTTGTGAATTAAGGGCATATAATTTTACACTCTAAAAGTATAATTGCTGAACTCAGGGGTGGGTAGACTTCAAAAATATGTCTGCTGTAGAAACAACTTGAAAATAGTTTTAAACCATGGCCAGCCACCAAATTGTGGACACTGTTTATACTGCTTGTTAGCAACTACCACTTAGAAAATTATAAGCATTTTTTTCTGTTTTACTAGATATATGTGAGTTCTCACAGTGATCACTATCAGTTTTATCAGTTGCCCTGTTTAACCTAGTTAAAAAGACAACTTTGGATCATTCTTAGTTTTTAATAGCTTTTAACATAAAAGTTGTAGCTGTAAATTACGTATTTTCATATTTTACATAATTGCTCTAAACTACTGATTAACTTGATCTTTTTCTGGGGGAGGGGGGAGTGGGAAATCTTTCTCCATATTGCTGATCCTCTTACTAAAATCCTTTTATAAAGAAATGACCTGTGACATTTATTCACCAAAGGAATCAATATACCAGGTCAAAGAATAACAATGTTATACTATATATTAATAGGTCTTATATAGCCTCAGTTGAGTTTTTATAATAGTGTTTTAACATACCTCTCTCTACATAATAGATATCATAAAAGTAAAATGAAGCAGAGGAAAGTAAAAGAAAACCAAATGATTTCGGTACATTTTGTGGCTTAAGAGAGAAGAAAATAAGATAAAATATCCTAAATATAGGAGCACCAACCATTCATAATCAGGTTAATAGTACTCCCTTGAATTTAGGAGTCATTGAAAATTCCTTTGCACTTAGATTTAATTATTTTATGTGTATGTTACATATTAAAAGTCATAAGACATTTAACTGAGTCATTGCTTTTCCAAGGGCAAGTAATGGCTTTGTAATAAGGAAAAAATAAAAAAATAAAAATCTCTGTAATGTGTTGTTTAAAGACAACCAAAATACCTAGAAATGTATATAGGAATATACTAATACCCTCTTCCCTCCCTGGGGCTTTAGGCCTGCAGAATATGCTTTCATACCTAGAAAATATGTATTCTTTACTTCCTTATTTATTTATTTATTTATTTTAGGCCATTCTTGTTTGCCAAATTCTGTTAAGACAGTAATACATTCAGTTCCTTTTTATGCATGCTTAGATCATGAACTTGGTGCCCTTTCAAAAAATTTTGTCAAGTAGGGATTAATGCCGTAGGTTTTATGAGAAAAGATTGTTTTCAGTTTTTTAAGGGAAATTTTTAAAAATAAATTTTGTGGCTCTTAAGGAATTAATGTTCACCTCTAAAGAACTTGTAATGTGTAATGCTTCCTTTTAGCCCGCAGGGAAATTAAGCATTTTTATACCCAGAAAAAAGTGCTGAAAATAGCTTTTATATAGTCAAAAGTTCAACTGGAAAAAGATCTTAATCCTTGTTGTTTTGGTTAGTACATAAATATTTGTTATAAAGTAACTAGTTTATTACTTTTTCCCTTCGGAATTTTAAATATATACATATACATATATATATATATATATGTCATTAGATACCTGCAGTGGATAATTGCTTCACATTCTAAAACAGGTACCTAGTGACTGCTTAATTGTTCCCAGATTGAATCAAAGATGAATTGACAAATAATGGCAATGAATAGTGATATGAAAATGGTATGTAACTACATATTGTTTCTGGTAATCAAGTCTTATTTTTTAAAAAGCCTATTGTTTTTGAGAAATGAGATATTTACAACTTGTTAAAACTTCTTCCTAAAAATAGAAGAGAAGAGGAGGTACTGTGTGTTCAAAAATTTTTTTAAATAAAGAATTCAGTGTCACTAGTTTAAGCCTTTATGGTTACTGCTGCTTATGTTTGTCTATCTCACTTTTATTAATTTTTTTGTACATATCTTAGCTGAATATTTAAAATTTACAATTATGTATAATTGCTAATATATATATATAAATTGGTTTTCAAAAAATTGAGGATTAACCATATTTTACTTTTCTGAAGATTCTTTATCAAAATCAGCTATAGTACTCTTCTGTTACATATGGTTGAGATCTATCTGAAGTAGGTGAAGTGTCTTTTAATCTCCCACCCACTGACCCCAGTCGTCTTTGAAGTCCTTTAAAAAAAAATTTATAACACCCTTTTATTTTTATTTCTTTTTTACTGTCTCTCTCACAAATTTGCAGAGTATCAGTGTTCAACACTTTGCTTTTCTGGCTTCTAAATTTTCTTTTAAAGGTTAGGAAATCTAAAGAAGGAAGACTACTATATCAGAAATTGTTTAAAACCTAAAAAGAGGTCTGTGGATATAGCTCAGTTGGTAGAGTACTTGCCTCGCATGCACAGGCCATGTGTTCAATCCCCATCATTGCCCCCCCCCCCAAAAAAAAAAACTAAAAAGGATTCTCCTTCCTATAAATAAAATAGATGTTCTTGGCAGCTAATTTCATTTCATTTTAAAAAATGGCTAAATTTGGGGCTGGGATTGTGGCTCAGTGGTAGAGCGCTTGCCTAGCACGTGTGAGGCCCTGGGTTCAATCCTCAGCACCACATAAATATAAATAAAGATATTGTGTCCAACTACAACTCAAAAATAAATATTTAAAAAAAGGCTAAATTTGTTGAATAATTGACCTAAATGAGCTGTTAGTCCTAATTAATTTCTTTGGTACTATATGGGAGTTTTATTTCTTTTTGGGTGGGAACTCTCCCAAAGTCTACTTATCGGTCAAATGAATGAATGAGTTAGGGATTTTCCATTTAAATCTTTAAACCATTTTGAGATGTAGAGTTATTTTTCTAAAATAATTTGTGGAACACTTTTGCTTTCTTAACATACATTGCATATTAATTTAAAGATAAGACTATACTTTATCTTTAGACATGGAATCTAGACATGTACTTCAACTTAGCTCTCTGTCTTGAAAATTGAAGTTATGGTTCTGACTATTACCCTGGTAAGTGATGTGTAAATTGTAAATTGAATTCTCAAATTTAGTATTGTGGCTTATATTTGGTGACAAGTCAATTACATGATAGTCTTAGGAAAATTCTTAGTTGATATAATAATTATCTGAAGCTGAAATTTTGAATATATGGAAGGAATGAATAGAAGCAGGTCTAAACATAACTCTAGTTGTATATGTTGAGTGAAAAATTGGTGGGAAGTTAATCCAGTTCTTATTCTGTTTCTTGGCATATAACACTGTCTGGATTTTTGAGGAAAGGTTTATCCTCTGTTTTTGAATGTTTTTTTTCCTGGGCAAATGCCTAATTTAAAAATTTTCTGAACTTTTAGTGGCATAACTTGTCAGATTTCCTGATATATAAAAGTGAATAATATTGCCTGTCATTTAAGCCTGAAAGAGACTATTGAGGAACTCAGTAGGTTTTAGCAGATACCATTGAAAATGCAAGTCTCTTCCTAGTTAAGTATAATTTATATAAATACAAATTAATTATCAGGCTCCAGGTAAAAGAATTATTTGAGTGGATTATGGGTTATTATCTAGTAGCCAAGAGTTAAGTGCATGCTCAGATTAAAATGGCTTTTAATACATACAGTTTTTCTTTTGATATTCAGAAATACAGATTGTGCATTTTATTAATAGAAATGGAAATTTGTGCTTGGTTTGAGTAGGGTGGATGTATATATTTTATAAATTCAAATTGCAAAAATATGTAAAGTTACTACTTTTTAAATAGAAAAATGTTAAGACAGATGTCTGTTATATATTTTTAAATACATGTATCAAACTTTTGTTAGTTGAATATAGGTTACTTTGTGTGCTTTATGGAATTCAGTAACTTTTAATAATAAAGCAGTTGTCATTTGATTTTTTTTCTGTATACTTGAATACTAAATTAGATAGATACTAGACTTCTTTGTAGTTTATAATAATATAAGACTGAATTTTGGTTCCTGTCTGCAGAAGATAGAGCTATAAGGGTTATGGAAACAAACATGTCCATTTCCAAACTGAGTGCAATAGAACAAAGGTAGCCACTAAAACTGTGTAGTTATATTCAACAGATCATCTTTGCTTAATCATATAGCTAGTATATTTTAGTAGTTCTTTATGCTATGATTAAATGAGTCTTGATTAAAGACTAGGTGTTTTCAGAGAAGATAGAAATTGAGAGCCGGGCACTTCCTTAGAGTTACCATGAATCTGATGTTGCTGAACTACAAACTACAACTAAGAAGGATGTACTACTGTAAAGAACTTCTGGATGCTTTTCTGAGTATACATCAATTTACTTAAATGAGTTGACTATTGAAGCAACAAGAAGAGAGAAGGAAATAAGCAGAAGAAGGAAATATCGCTGCATCTATTATTCCTAGCAGGAAGAAATTAAATATGCTTTGCTGATGCTCTTTAAGTTTTCTTTTTCACAGGGAATCTGCTTGCTCCAGGAGCATCTTGGTTCTCTTTGGGGCAGCCATACTACCATAAAAATCATATCTCAACAAGCTGTTTTGCAGACTTAGATTAGTAGATGGTTAGAGACATTCAGGAACTTCCTTTGTACTTTGATGGCAGTCTTTTCCTTTATTTTAATCCTTAAAATTATTTCTACTTCACATAGTAGAAAGAACTTTTGCCCACTAGTTTAAACTGCTTTGCTTAAGTGATTCTGCTGAAGTCCTCTCCCTGTAACTTTACACAGAAGGTAACATATAACAAAATTAAACACAAACTGAATTGAAGGTCCAGTGACAGTTACAGATTTGTTCTACTTGAATAGTAAGGCCCAAAGCTACAGTTGTTCTACATCTGTCCTGTTGGAAACCCTTCTCAATATATTTCTGATTGCTCATGTGATTTTTAAAAAATATTTGCCTGCTGTGAATGCAAAATATGGAAGTGGGAGAACCTGCATGCCCTTTATAGTTCAGTGGAAATTATCTAAGGAAAGTTGAAATAAGAAAACTAAGGTAGAAAATATCTTCTCATGAGTCCATACCTTGCCTTCAAAGACCTAATATGGGTGAATCACACCATTGGGCAAGAATCTACTATAGATGACTGGATAATAATTCTTGTCTTGTCTTCCCTCCCTACCTACCACTCATCTATCCTAAACTTTCTGATAATAGGCACAGTATTGCAATTGTGTTTATGTCCCCAGCAATAGTATCTAGCATATAGGCTTTTAATAAAAAATCTTGAATTGATTATATTTGTATTTTTCATGCTATTTTTGTTGGTTTTTTTTTTTTTTTTTCTTTTTGTTTTGCTATTTCTAGGGCTTGAACCTAGAGGTGTACTCTACCACTGAGCTGCACTCCCAGCCCTCTTTATTTTGAAACAGGTTCTTGCTAAGTTGCCAAGGCTGGCCTCAGACTACTTCTGCCGCATCCCAAATTGCTTGGATTCGGTGGGGATGCACCACAGTGCCTAGCTCAATTACTAACAATTCTGAAGCATCCAGACCACCATCAGAGTGAAATGTAGCAGATCACAAAATCCTTCTGGCCCCAGTGAGTTTGAGAAGTTTGCTTTTAAATAAATTATAAATCTTTGTTTGTGATTCCTTTTTGTATATGCTTCTCCTATCTTAAAGTTATTGTTCTTGAATTATATTGAATTAAGAATATAAATGCTTTAACCTAAATATACCTGAGGAGCAATGAGATCATAAAAGAAACCTGACACAAAGGTTAGAAACAAACATTAAGCATATCTGTTGAGTGTCTCATGCCAAGAGGGAAGGTAGATAAGAAAATCTATATCTGAGGCCTATGTAATGACAGAAATAGGTGGAAAGGTACAGATATTAAAAAGTGGTGACCCCCGTAAGGCTCAGTTAAATGGTACTTTCAAATTATTATAGAAATAAATTGCAACAAGTACTGTCCTGGCTTGAAAACTAAACTTTGTAGATGGGTTCCAGGCAAGAACAAAGGTCAAAAACTACAAATCCCCAGGACTTAGAGCTATGTGAATATAAGCATAGATCAGTATAGCTGGCTGACTGAGCCAGGGGGAGAACAGAGTTAATTGGGAAAGAAATCCTGGGGCCTGATCATATGGGTCCTTCTAAGAGGTTATTTGGTCCTTTGGTTTCCATTGGCCAAGGTGAGCCAAAGAGTTGCTTTTATCCTCTTGTTTATTCAATTTGGAAAGATATAGCTATGAAATCGAACCACCGCTGAACAATATCTCAGAAAGTTGCCTGGAAAACAAAGTCAAGGATATTCTTTTTTTTTCTTAATTTTTTAGTCACTGATGGACCTTTACTTTATTTATTTGTATGTGGTGCTGAGAACTGAACCCAGGGCCTCACATGTGCCAGGCAAGCACTCTACCTCTGAGCCACCACTCCAGCCCCGTCAAGGATATTCTTGAACACTAAACCACTACCCCAATGTTCCACCCATTAAAAAAAACAAACAACAATCTGTCACCCAATGGGGCTATGTCCTCATGGTGAAGGCCTGCTGAGTAAACCATTCCTGGTTCAGACTTGCTTCATATGGCTGTAGAGGGAATGTCAAATTTTCTATTTAAAAAGTGTGATCCCAGCAGTGTACTCAGGATGCAATAATAATCTAATTATTAGGAAATTATTTCATCCACACAGAAATCTTACTATGCTACCTGTTATGGTTGAAATTGTGTCAAAGAGATGTGGAAATCCTAACCCTCAATTCCTCAGAATGTGGCCATATTTGAAAATCCAGTCATTGCTGATGTAATTAAAGCAAAGTCATGCTGAAGTAAAGTGGACTCTAAATCAAAGATGATGTGTCTGGGGCTGGGGATGTGGCTCAAGCGGTAGCACGCTTGCCTGGCATGCGTGCGGCCCGGGTTCGATCCGCAG